TACATAATAATATGCGTTATTTAACAAAAAATATATAGGTGCCTGCTTTTAGAATATCTAATATATAAAATTCTCGTGTCACAGTTTTCGTTGCCATACTCCTCCGAAACGGCTTGACCGATTTTGATGAAATTTTTTGTGCTTATCCGGTATCTATGAGAATCGGCCAACATCTATTTTTCATCCCCCTAAATGTTAGGGGTAGTCCACCCCTAATTTTTTTTTTTAATTTTTAGACAAAATTTTTAATTACAATTTTTTTATGATACAACATACAAAAATACATACAATCCTCAATTTTCACCCTTCTACGATTACCCCTTATTTTTTAATAGCCATTTTAGTAATTTAATAATTTTTCCTCTCCGGTCGAAAACTGATCAATCGTCATTTAATTAGTTATCCCCGCCAGATGTCTACAGGTGTCACTTCTCACCCTGTAAACAGCACGGATTAGGGATGTTACCTCTACAGTTTTCGGCTATTATTAGTGTTTATGCTTCAAGCGTAGTAGTTAAACATTTTTAGTTCATCGCCTTGCATGTCAGATGGAAAATCTACAAAAAAAATCCCTAAAGATTTCACTAACGATACAATCACAAATGTCGACGGATATCCAATATATCGTCGAAGGAATACAGATAATGGCGGACAATCATTTATTAAAAACATCAGCAACACAGACATTGATATTGACAATCGTTGGGTCGTGCCATATTCGCCCCTGCTGAGCAAAACATACAATGTTCATATTAATGTTGAGTTCTGCAGTTCTGTGAAGAGCATCAAATACATTTGCAAGTATGTCCATAAAGGCAGTGACATGGCGGTATTTAGAGTGGAAAATATGAATGTACCATGGCACACAAACATTCGCTTGAGGCCTTGAACAGGACATTGAAAGATATTAAAAACAACGACAAACTATTTGGTGGCACTCTGTTAGTCCTTTCAGGTGACTTCAGACAAACACTTCCCGTCATTCCACGTTCAACATACGCTGATGAAATCAACGCCTGCTTAAAATCATCTACATTGTGGCGTAATGTTGAAATAGTACAGCTGAAAGTAAATATGCGCGTTCAAATGCTTCAAGATCCATCCGCTGAAACATTCTCAAAACAACTCTTAGATATCGGCGATGGAAAAGTCACTATAGCTGAAACTGGATACATAAAATTAGCGAATGATTTCTGCACTATCATTGATTCGCAAAATGCTCTCATTGAACAAATATTTCCCGATGTACACACGAATTACATAAATCTCGAGTGGCTTGCAGAAAGAGCAATGTTAGCTGCAAAAAATGTGGATGTTGACATTTTAAATCTGAAGATACAACAGTTATTGCCAGGGGACTTGGTATCATATAAATCTATTGATACAGTTTGCGATGACACTGAAGCTGTAAATTTTCCAACAGAGTTTTTGAACTCACTGGATTTGCCAGGCATGCCACCACATAACTTACAATTGAAGGTTGGATCTCCAATTATTTTGCTTCGTAATTTGAACCCGCCACGGCTATGCAACGGTACGCGATTAGTCATTAAAAAAATAATGAAAAAAGTTATCGAAGGCACCATTTTAAATGGCAAGTTTCGAGGTGAAAATATATTGATACCACGAATACCTATTATACCCACAGATGTGCCAATTCAATTTAAGCGGGCTAACAAAAAATATTGTTCACGCTGCAGCATTAAGAGATTAATATTATGTAATGAATTAATTATATATATTATAATTATTACTTTTAATAAATTAAAACAATTAATGTTTGATGTTTTGTTATTTTTAAACAACATTCCCTCATCGTTCCCAGCGCTCCAGGCCTTTTTCACTCATATTCCACATCCTTATACACTTCCAATAAGTTAGTATTTTAGAAATTCTCTAGAAATCTTATATATGGCAAGACACCGTTTGCCGGGTCAGCTAGTAGAAGTATAAAATAGAATCATAATAGTGTACAAACTTACAATTCCAATTAATTATAGTCGAATTTCGACTACTGCGGGACCTCTAGTACATATTAATATGCCCTCACTTTAATATTACGATTCCGTATTTATTATTATTTCGGTATTCAAATATTTATTTATTTACTTGCTAAATGAATTCGATAATATATACAGAGTTAGATGACATGAATTTTTTAATTATTGCATAGATGGGTGGACGAGCTCAAAGCCCACCTGGTGTTTAGTGATTACCGGAGCCTATAGACATCTACAACGTAAATGCGCCACCCACCTTGAGATATAAGTTCTAAAGTCTCAAGTATAGTTACAACGGCTGCCCCACCCTTCAAACCGAAACGCATTACTGCTTCAGGGCAGAAATAGGCAGGGTGGTGGTACCTACCCGCGCGGACTCACAAGAGGTCCTACCACCAGTAATTACGCAAATTATAATTTTGCGGGTTTGATTTTTATTACACGATGTTATTCCTTCACCGTGGAAGTCAATCGTGAACATTTGTTGAGTACGTATTTCATTAGAAAAATTGGTACGTTGTTTGGTGCATCGCTCAACACTAATGCACCGGACGTCTTATCCTTTAGGCCACGACGACTTCATGTAATGGCTTTAGTTCTCTGTCGAATAACCTTCGCTGATTTACGCAACTGAATTCATTATAAATAAATAAAAACACATCGAAGATATAGGCGAATATTAAATATTTATTTAATATTAAAAATTCTTAAACAATAAATACGATGATAATTCACAGGGAAATGACAGCGAAATTTTTTTTGTGTTCAAATGATTATAATTAATTATTGAATATAATAATAATATAATGAGATTAATATATTGCATCCGTGGGCATTTTTAATGAATATTCTTTCCAACCTACTACATCCGTATCTATGCTGGGAGTAGACCTTGTATCAAGATATGACGTTAAAATATTTTTATTGAAGTAAATTAAAATCAATCTTACATTAATTACATGCAAAGGAAACCTTAGTTATTTGGTTGAGACAACAGCTAGGCTATTAGCACTGTTAATAAACTGTCAACCGATTCTGAAGAACTTCAATATCCGATAGTTGTATAGAGACATAGGTTTAAAATAACAATCAAATAAGGTTTTGGCCTTCAATAGTAACAGTAACATAGATACCCGTGAATCTTAAATGCTATTTTAAAAACAAATACTTACATAATTCAACAAGCAAGTCTTGAAATGTTTTGGTTTTAGAAAAATATTCGATCACTCAGAGGGAAAAAGATATTGAGTAGAACATTAACATGAAATGAGGTATTTTTATGCGCTTCCTACCACGGATTTGGGAGACTATATTTCTAACGACTCTAATAACATGAAAATTAAAATTTAAGGGAAGGAATTTTATCTCTCCACTATTTTTAAGGTATGTAGAGACAGTTATTGAGATGTGACGGTAAACCTTAAGTGAGACGTATGTATAATATTTGAAATATTTATGATATTAACAAAAAGTCAAACCTTTTATTTCTTTCATTATATTCAAACTTAGATAATTTCTTAGACGCAAAGCTTTATTAAAGACTAGCTGACCCGGCAGACTTCGTAGTGCCTCAATCGATAAATAAAATCGATAAAAAAACAAAAGGAATCCGTCCGACATATGAAAGGAAAAACAAAATTGTTTGTTTTTATATAATTCCGAGCACTTTTCATGTTTATTTTTAAACCTTCTCTGGACTTCCACGAATAATTCAAGACTAAAATTATCTAAATCGGTCCAGCCGTTTTCGAGTTTTAGCGAGACTAACGAACAGCAATTAATTTTTATATATATAGATAGATAATAATTAGAATAATATAGAATATAGAAGAGGAGGCCTTTCCAACTTCACCAGGACAGGTGGGCCGATAGATGTAGTGTAAATAGACGCACAGAACAAGTGTTACAATATTAAAATGTATTTAAAGAAATTCATCATATTGTCTATTACAATCATATTATCTATACAATTACAATCGATAATTACAACACTATTTCGATTAAGAATCTGACCGCGTCCCACTGAGTGATCGTTTCGAGTTACTTAAAATAGGGTGACAATTATTCGTAAGAAAAAAAAGGGGATAAACATTCTTTTTTTTTTTTGTAACATCGATTCCCTAATTTATGGCTTACGTCAATCCATTTCAATTGAACACGGATGGCGATATTTATAAGTCCAATTGCCAAATTTAATATATATATTTTTTTGGAGTTTAAACACGATTTCAATATCAAATTTAATGATGAAAGAAAATAATCGTGATTTAAGAAATACATTTATCAGTGATTTATTTATGTCTAAATAAAATCCTATGTTATTTCTGCTTGCATCCTTGCCTTCGAACGTGAATTGACGCAACCATTCTAATCATACCGTTTTAATTCCAGTTTAAAATTGACATTACCTTAAAAGATTACACAGCTGTGACTAATACATAAATATGGTCGCTGTTTTGTATGCATTTGAGATGCATATTGAGATTTAAATAACGTTCTTCTTAAATTTAAGTTAAGCAACACCTTCACTGCGAAACAAGTCCTTATCGAACCGCCGCGGTTCTTTTAGCAGGTGCGAATGAAAGTAACCATGACCCTCTCGATGATGAGGACCGATTATTTCAAGTGTTAAGAGTTTTATACAACAACTAGCGATCCGCCCTCGCTTCGCTTCGGAAACTGTAATTTATTATTGATTTCTCCACTATTTAATGGATGTTATTATACATATAAACCTTACTCTTCAATCACTGTAACTGTTAAAAAAACCGCATCAAAATCCGTTGCGTAGTTTTAAAGATTTAAGCATACATAGGGATATAGGGACATATACTAAATTGTATTACCGTTTTCGCAAAGTTATAGTATCTTAATCTAACCCTAGTGTTGGTGGATCGAGAAGGACTTGCCACGCAGTGATGGAAATATCTTTGGGGGCGTATTTCGATCAGCCGCCTCACCAGAAGGTTTATGGTTTTACTTGCAACAGCCAAGGTTTCGATCGGCTAAAATGCAATAGTTAGCAAAGAAATAAAACGTCCTACTAGTGGATCTTAATCTGTATCAACACAGAAACCTCTTGATTGAGAGACGCGCTTAATACCGTTGTGTGTAACCATTTCTTTAACTGCAAAAAGATTTTCAACGCCAATCTCCGGAACAAAATTCATGACACAGATCCGACAGTATGCCTGCTAATATCGTTAGCAAAGTAATTAATTAAAATTTAAAACGGGTATCAATCAATTTTAAAACTAATTAGTGATTTAAAAACTAGGATTAATGGACAAAATGAAATGTTCTCAAATGATAAAACTATAGTTTAGATTGAACGAAATTCTCGAATGCATACAAACGCAAGGGGTGTCCCGTTACGAACCGAAGCGTGGTCGCCTTAGTTCGTGACGTCCTTGCGCACTTTGTGACCGCGGAAGGAGGCCTGGATCTTCGTAGCGGCTTTGTTCAAATCAGGATCGGTCAGATCTATTTTCTCGATGTCCTCCTGAAATTACAGTAAAATTATATTAGATAAATGCCTGAATCTTGCCAACGACATTTCCAAGATAGTATATATTATATGTACAAGTTCGAACACCACTGTCTTTTACTGGTGGTAGGACATCTTGTGAGTCCGCACGGGTAGGTACCACCGCCCCGCTAATTTCTGCCGTGAAGCAGTAATACGTTTCGGTTTGAAGGGTGGGCACCCGTTGTAATGATACTGAGACCTTAGAACTCATATCTCAAGGTGGGTGGCGCATTTACGTCGTAGATGTCTATGGGCTCCGGTAACCACTTAACACCAGGTGGGCTGTGAGCTCGTCCACCATACTAAGCAATAAAAAAAAATTGTGTTTTGGTGTGCATGTAAATTGTATTCTCTCTCTCTCTCTCTCTCTCTCTCTATAAACTTCAAAACACACCTTATCTTGCTTTTCCTTTTCCTTTTGGGCTTGAGTCTCCTTCCGCGCCTGGTGGCCTCGGAACGAAGCCTGAATCTTGGTTGCGGCGTGGCACAGTTCTGCAAACGTAAAGTGAGCTATTTGAAAACGATAATTTCATGTTAAATGCATGGGGAATGGAAATAACCAAACGCAAAGGACATCATGTATATTGTCGACCTTGAGAGATTAGGGTTTTTTTGGAACGAAGTTCCTTATGGGATGATGCGGAGGTGTACCCGAACCGAGAAAAAACGTCCGTAACGCAAGATTTTTATTAGTAATGTACACAGTGTACGACTTAACTTTGTAATAACGTACAAAAATAACATACTTTTTTATCATTCATTGACCACGATCTCAGAGCGTTCGTTTGCGCAATACACTAACTCTTATGCAAACAACCGTGAATGAAGTGTACCACAATAAGTTCGCACGTTACCGAATGACCGTGGGTTGTTGCGAAACCTCCAGTATAATAAGGAACTTCGTTCCTATCCGGTGTCCCACGACACCACACATCTTTTTTAATTGCCCTTGTAGGCATACGAGCATACGGTCCACACGATGGTGAATGGTTACCGTCGCCCATGGACTTCAGCAATGCCAGGGGCAGAGCCAAGCCGCTGCCTACCGCTTAATACTCTGAGTCTTACTTACAATTCCAATTAATCATAGTCGAATTTCGACTACTGCGGGACCTCTAGTCTATACTAATATATAAATCTACAGTGGTTTTTACGGATGTTCCGTTATAAATACTGAACCATGCATCCGATTGACTTGAAACTTGGTATCCATGTAGAAAATACACGTACTTAATAATGACAATAAATAATAATGTTAATTTTAAATGCCCCGCGAAGCGGGCGAGTACGGCTAGTAGGTCTATATTCTCGATATCGAGAAGTGAAAGGATATTTAATTTTGGTTAACTAAGTAACTACAGTCGGCATCATTGCGCCACTTTGAGAAGGCGGCACGACATGAGAACCCTCTTGTCGTGGCCGCTGGAAACTACATACCCGATCCTGTAGACCGAATGGTAAACAGTCCGGCCGGTGTTGGCCTCCAGGTTGCCGGTCAGGACTAAGCTCGGCATTTATAAGACGTATGTCCGTTCCCGTATCACGTACGCAGCTGAGGCCTGGTATCACCTCATCCCGCAGGGTATGCGGGCGAGGTTACAGGTCCAGCAAAATCTGGCTCTTCGCACGATAGTCGGAGCAGGGCGTTACGTCAGAAATGACGTAATCGCCCGGGATCTAGATGTGGAGTCGCTCGAGGAGTTCATCCGGAGGCTAGCTCGTAATCTTTACGAGCGGGCTGACGGTGGACCCCACGAGCACCTCCACAATATAGCTCCCTTGCACGCCAGACCACCTGATGGTCGGGCGCTACCAAGGGAGCTACTGGAACCCCCGGCTATGGTAAGATAGTCGGCTTAATCGGAGTGATATGGGAGTGCTCATAATGAGTGCCCCCATGGGACTGAGCTGTCCACACTCGTCATGTCCCCCCACATCGTTGGGGTGCCCCCTTATGGGGACCCATTTCCCACCCCCGTTGGGTGGACCACTCCCCCGTCTGGGGAGTGTTTAACATCGGTCCCTCCCCGCGATGGNAAAAAAAAAAAAAAAAAAAAAAAAAAAAAAAAAAAAAAAAAAAAAAAAAAAAAAAAAAAAAAAAAAAAAAAAAAAAAAAAAAAAAAAAATTATAGCTGTAAGGAAGCAGAGGACAGCAGCCGGCGCCGGGGTGTCACCGCCGCGGGCATCGAGCCGTCACCAGACTGCCCATCGTATTATATATATGTATGTATTTTTGTCGATGTGAGTGTGCCGAAGCACGCTGCGAACAGCCCTCCCCCCAATCCAGTCTTGCATCTATTTCACCCCTGCCCTATGTGGCAGGGAGCGTCTGCCCGGGTAGTGGGGTTTACCCCGAGGCCCGCTCCGTGCCCCCGTAAGGGAGTACGACGACCCCGTAATGGTAAACAGTCGACGTCACCCAAAATACGTCATTACGGATCCTCCCGATCCATTAACGTGCTTATAGGTACCACAAGCACCGGTCACCGTCAAAAAACTATTTGGTTTAGCAGACTTTTTTACAACTATACAGTAGAGTCAAAGTTTTAAATTTGTTAAAAAATATCATAGCCAAAACCAAGCACTTCTTCAACTATTTGAATGGAGTAAACTTTAATGTTTTTTAATGTTTGTAATTTGTTTAATGTTTTTTCAATTAAAAACATTAAACTCCTGATGCTAATACCAAATAAAACGCACCTTTAACTACAAAGACAAATGTCGCGTATTAAGCGAATTTTTTTATTTATTTTTTATTGCTTAGATGGATGGACGAGCTCACAGCCCACCTGGTGTTAAGTGGTTACTGGAGCCCATAGACATCTACAACGTAAGTGCGCCACCCATCTCGAGATATAAGTTCTAAGATCTCAGTATAGTTACAACGGCTACCCCACCCGTTTCGAACCGAAACGCATCACTGCTTCACGGCGGAAATAGGCGGGGTGGTGGTACCTACCCGTGCGGACTCCCAAGAGGTCCTACCACCAGTTGTGCCGCTTAGAGCTTTTCATCCCTCGATATAGTTAGAGGTGGTTCGTAAAAATCTATTAATATTGAAGTACCGTCACTTTTACGTTATTTTTACACACATTTACTACTATTAGACTGGTCAGTCATTATTTATCTATATCTATCTATACTTAATAATATTATAAAGAGGAAAGATTTGTTTGTTTGTTTGTTTCGAATAGGCTCCGAAACTACTGGACCGATTTGAAAAATTCTTTTTCCATTAGAAGCCGACATTGTCCCTGATGAACATAGGCTACTTTTTTTTTTTTTTTTTGTTTCATGTGTGTTTTAATGTTTCCGAAGCGAAGCGAGGGCGGGTCGCTAGTATTAACATAAAATGCGGGACGAGTCAGTCTTAATACATCTCTCTCGTGGCTCACTAAGAAGGAATTTTAGTTGCTTGTCGTCCGTAAGCCGTAACTTCCATTTGATCTAGTTTAGGAAAAGAGATGGATTTACACAGTGTCGCTATGTGCGTGTTAACAAAGATCTTCTCTGGTTTTTGTGATCAGTCCAGCTTAGCCAGCCTAGTAACAGCTAATATTAGTATTGTAATCAAACTTTCATGTCACTTTTCTTTAAGGGTCAGCAGAAATCACTTTGTGGCATGGATGAGCTCACTTAAAACTATGGTATCAGTCGAGACGTCTCTCCATCTTTGTCAAGCAATAATATATATCACTGGTGGTAGGACCTTTTGTGAGTCCGCACGGGTAGGTACCACCACCCCGCCTATTTCTGACGTGAAGCAGTCATACGTTTCGGTTTGAAGGGTGGGGCAGCCGTTGTAACTATACTGAGACCTTAGAACTTACATCTCAAGGTGGGTGGCGCATTTACGTCGTAGATGTCTATGGGCTCCAGTAACCACTTAACACCAGGTGGGCTATGAGCTCGTGTATCCATCAAAGCAATAAAAAAACAAATATCAGCGATTCCACGAAACCACCTAAAAATACTGCAAAGTCACACATCATTGTCTACTATGAAGGTGCAAATTCTCGATAAAACCAGCCTATTCCAGCGAAAAGATCGATCGATACAGCGGACAAAGCGCCACACGATGCTAATTTCCCTTCAAGATAATTTGTTCGGTGTTTAATCTACCATCAAGCACCCTTCAATGCGTCATAAAAATCAATTTAAGGACCGCTATTTTCGGTACGATGGATACCTGATTTGAATACTAATATATACCGGCCATTTCAATGAAGGATGGAATTGAATGATGGCAATGGAAAGCTTTAAAGGAAGAGAAAAAGGTAGTCCTAAGAAAAAATGGATGAATTGCGTGAAAGACGATATGTGTAAGAGTGGAGTGAGCGAAGAAATGGTATATGACAGAGGAATATGGAAGGAGAAAGCATGTTGCGCCGACCCCAGGTGACTGGGAGAAGGACAGGAGAATCATAGTGATAGCTGGCCATTTCAATAAAGCCAAACACTGCAGCGTATTTTTATAGGTATTTTACAAATACTGACCGAAACCCATAGCTGCTTCGAGGAAGAAATGGGTGGCAGATTACAGTCCTATTTTACGTCCTAACACTACCGGTACTCAATATGGTTTTAAACGCTGAACGAGATCTGATAAGCCTCGCCTGTATCTCCCTTGCGGAAGGTTAAGGAACATCTCTTTCGTGCAAGGGCCGTAACCTCTAATTTAGTGTATGACAGAGATGAATATATGTATGTGGGAAGATCGGTATAGTTCAAACTGGGACGCTAGATTTATTTTAAAATCGAAAACAAATGTCAAAGTCAGACATCGATTGAGATTACGATGCTACGAGCGCTTTTCTGAAATTAAGATTTTAAAGTTAAAATCCACTTATATTTCGCCCCATATGCGCTGCTTTTTCCAGCCGTAAAGCAGCGATGTGATACATTCTGAATTCAGTGCCGACGTTCACAAAACCTCGTTCCAATTCCAATAAAAAGCCAGCAAGTACCTACCCTATAAGTCCGTATAAATAGTGAAGAATGATTCTTTTGACTTGACCGACCCACAAGCTTTTCATTTATCATAATAACAAATGGTCAATTTCCGGATAGGGATGTCGCAGTCTACTTCATAGAAAAATGAAATCTGTTGTCTATTTAAATTAACCTACTAGTTTCTTTCTTTATTACATAAATGGGGAGATCAATACACTGTTCACTTAGTGTTAAGTTATCTCAGTGCTACAACGAAATTGTCGCTACCCACCTTGATGTATGTGGTCGAAGCTTAAGTTGTATTGTATACTGGTGGTAGATTCATCCAAGCTAGTGCCGATGCTAGCAACGTCTCTCAGACCAAACCTCGTGAGGTCAACCATCAATCAATGTGAAACCAGAATAACCCCTCAAGGCTATTGGGATTTAAGTGGGCGAAAACACAATCAATATGCCATCCATCAAAGCGGCACGCTTGACAGATTGGTGATAAAATTATTCAGGTTGCTGGTACCTGGAATGGACTTGCAATACGCCCT